TGACCGATGCTAATCCCCAGGAGAGCAACTAGTTGCGTCTTCTGGGTCTCACTTTTTCTATTGACGTGTAGCAATTATATTGAAGTAAATGGTATGATAGCTGCAAAGAAGATTCGTTCACTGTGTCGTATCTGATAATTTTTCAAATTCAAAATCCATCTTGCACATTTATAACTTAACATACGTCCGTTCAAGGAATATTGCTGCCATATCTGATCTGGGTGCTCCGACAATATATATCTAGACAAAATCCAATGAATCCGACATGTTATAGGTCCTGACCTGGCATGCCTATTTCAGTCACTTTCCCATCGCCGTACCGTGTTTTCCCTCTGTCTTTTTCTGGAAATAATTTCATGATAGTTGTTCTGATGAGCTATCCTCCTTGGTACTTCGACCGGATGAATTTAATCGTACTACTAGATTGGCAATTAGGTCTCATAGTTTTACTGTTGAAATAGCTAGATGAAACCGTAAGTTCTACTCTAATAGTTTCTTTTCTGACAATGTGTTAAATGCTCTTGCGGTTTCTTTGGTCCCCTATCACCTACAATCATAAAAAATGAATATGCAATGCTAATTGCCATCTTCTGTCCTCTTAAGACCTGTTCTATTATTGTCCTTCCCCTCCCTAATGACTTCTTAAAGACATGGGCTACCAGGAACCCCTTCAATGAACCTATTGGAACATTTTCCAATCAATCGGAGAGCTCTAACTACAATTGGATTTAGTGATATCCTCATTATTATTATTATTATTGTTATTTTTATTTTATTTTATTTCTGGCGTTTACACATTTCTTTCCGGGTCCCGCCCAGGGGCCTAAGGTTAGAAATGGCGTCATGACACTTTCCACTGACAAAAAAAAATAAAACATAAAAAAAATTAAATTGCATAGATAAAGCCCTTCGTAAGGTGTGGACTGTACTTGTCAGAACAATTTTTTGTATCTCCTTGAGTATTATTATTATTATTATTATTATTATTACCCTTAAATTTCTTTAGATATTAAAAAAAAGAAAAAAAAAGTATGTTTTACAAAAGTCTTAAAGAAAATTAACAGACGGGAATATTTTGAATTTTCCAAGTTTTTTTAATTTTTTTATTTTCATTTGCACTGAGTAACTTCTTGATGAGGTCTTGTGTCAAACTCCGATGGATAGTAAGATATCCTGGGTTTCTCCAGACAAGAAATACTTATTAACATAATGATCAACACATTGTTGACTAGTTTTTTTTACTGTTTAGTTTCTAATATATCTTGTTCTTAACCTAAGTTAAGTTTAATATCCCCCAATGAGAGCCTTAGTTATTAGTAAGCAGTTGTATACATAAAGAGTTTCAGCCTTTTCGATCGCCTTCAATGTTGTCATCCTTTGCCAGACAAAAGTGATAGATCATTTCTATATTCATGGGTACCGTAGAGGTTGTCATGAATTGATTTACTTTTGTGCCCCTATGACAGGCTTAACTAAGCTGACAATAACTCTATAAGAGCGCATCTGTGTATTTTTCCTCATTTTTAGTGCGGAGGTCTTGTGTGATGCGATCAGATAATGGACTGTGGAATGATGATGTAAGTTTATACAACTCAAGCGGATTTGTCTATACTGACGTACTGAGATAGATTGCTAGATATGAAGAGAGACATATGAAGACGTGAAGATATTAGATAGATATGAACATACTGAGATAGAAATAAAGAGATTATATATATATATATATATATATATATATATATATATATGTAGAGAGAGAGAGAAAGAGAAAAAAGAGAGAGAAATATACATAGGTAAAGAAATATGAACAGATATGCTATTATTGAAATATACAAAGGAAACTGAGATAAATATGAATATATTGAGATAGACAAAGAAACTGTGAAAGTGAGAGATAGATTGAAAAATATAGAAAAAAAAGAAAGATAGATAGATAACATATATATATATATATATATATATATATATATATATGGATGGATCAGTGGATAGATAGATAGATAGATAGATAGATAGATAGATAGATAGATAGATAGATAAATAGATATGAACTGATAAGCGACTACTGAAATATAAAAAAAAATAAGATAAATTTGAATATACTGAGATAGAAGCAGAGAAAGTAAAATATATAAATACAATGAAACATAGAAAGACACGAATATAATATTACATAGCTAGCTAGCTAAATAGATAAAAACATAGATAGTTAGATGAATATATAGATAGATAAAGAACATATATATATATATATATATATATATATATATATACATACATATATAAAGGACAGAGATAGATAGATAGATAGATAGATAGATAAATGAACAAATGAAGTAGAGATGAACATATTGATAAAGACAACAAAAAATAACGACTAAGATGATAAGTTCCGCGCCTATGAATTTCAAGGCTGCGTTCGGGCCGAGAACTTTTCAACACCTCCCCATAAAAACACAGATTAAGAAGAGTAGGTAAAACGTAGACAAATGCATATACT